AGGAGAGTCATTGAGTACTCTCATGGAGACCCATTTTCCAGGAAGTTTTAAATTTGGTGATCACTGTCATTCTCTCAAAAGGAGAATGAACAGAGAAGAAAGAATTGAAGCAGAAAGGATAGTGACCACAAATGCAGTTAGGAATGCCATTCGCTCCATTTAAGTCACCGACTCTGGATGGCATAGCTCTAGTACTCCTGCGATTGGGAATTGACCTGCTCGTAGTTAGGCTCACGGAGATGTTCAGGACGTCACTGGCAACAAGGTACGTCCTTAAAGCTTGGAGAGAGCCAAGGGTTACTTTTCTACCAAAACCAGAAAAGAGTGCCTTACCTCTTTCATGCTTAAAACTAGAAGGCACTACGCTAATGAAATATTCTTTAAGCAGATGTCAACACGCCTATAGGGCAGGGAGATTCGCAGAGACTGCCATGCACGAGGTCGTGAAGACAGCTGAGAGAGAGCTAACTTCAGGAAGCATTTTGATGATCATCATGATGGACATCGAAGGAGGCTTTGACAAAGTAAGCTTTGATAAATTAAAATCTGCTCTAGCTGAGCGAGAAATCGGTTCAATCATTATTGAATGGAGAGATTTCATGCTAAGACAAAGAGCAGTAAATCTACATTATGGCACACATAGATTGCGAGGCAAAACAGTCAGAGATTGCCCACAGGGAGGGGTGCTTTCACCATTCCTGTGGAACGTAACTTCAACAGCTTGACTTTAAAGGCATACAAACAATTGGGTATGCAGACGATATAGCACTGATGGTGAACGGAAAGTTCCCAGATAAATGGTATCTGTAATGAGAAGTGCTCTCAAATGCCATTGGAGACTATGAGGAGAGCTTATAAGAAGAAGTGTCCTATAGAACACTGATAGAAGACGGCCTTCTACTTAATGAATGTGAAAGAAATGACATCTGCATCTTTACCGATGGCTCCTTAATGGATGGCAGAGCTGGTGCTGGGGTTTACTCGAAAGATCTAAATCTAACGTACACTCTATATCTAGGAATATGTGTTTCGGTATATGAGGCGAAACTTATGGCGGTCTCACATGCTC